ATTAATAAACTTTTTTTATTCATATTATAAAATTTTAAGTTTTTTAATGAGCCAAAAAGTGTTCAGAGACTTTTGGTAGTCCTCTGTATAATTAGTAATTTCTTAAAATAAATTTCTAGAATAGATTTAATATCCAAATATTGAAAACCTTTTCCACCTTCGTAGCATTGAGTTTTATTCAATCTAGCTGAACTGGACCTTTTCACTATATTAATCACATAACCTACACAATCTACTCTTGTTCTTCTATAGAGTTTTTTTATTAAACCAAAGCTACCATCACATTTGAATTTGGTATATCCTAGAATCATAAAATTCAATTCAACACTTTTATAATAACCACAAATTACTAGATACAAATAAAACCAAATTGTTATATTATTTTTATTTTGTCTCCCAGCATTATCACAAGTAATCTTTAAATGCTTTTCACCTTTGTTCAATTTCTTAATTCCATCAAAAATCATGCTAAGAGTTCCATTGGGTCCTTTTCCTATGATTTCATCTTCATCAAATACATAGTTAATCTGCTCTCTTACTGCTTCATCTTGAATACCAAATAAATGAACTTTACATGGACTAAGGTAATATATTTTACTTACTTGTTGATCTGAATGTGATACATGAACATTTTGGGCTTATTCATAACTATAATGAGCAATAATATTAATACTGCAATATTATGTTTTACTCTTTGAATAATTTTGATTAACTAATTTTCTTTGTTCTTTTGCTAATTTTGTATTTTTATTATAATAATTTCTTTCTAATTTGGCTTTGAACAAATGTTCTTTAAATCTTTTGAGCAAATTTTTAGCTCTTTTCTCCTGGCGAGTATTGTAATGTAAAACATTTCAAAAATGTTGACAAGTATTACACAAATCAGTCCTAGGACTCATAATTTGAATCTCTAGTGTTAATTGATGTCATAATTTTCTAAATGTATCATATTTTAAGAATTTCAATTTGTTATATTCTTCTAAACCAGCTAGAAAGTTTCTATATACTGATTTATAACTCATTTCAGCTGGTAAAAAGATAACTGACTGAGTTATTCTATTGACACTCTTTCCTAGACTTAGTAATCCATGGATTTCAATATAATTTTCCAGAAAATTCTTTACAATTGCGGCAATGTCTTTGTCAATCATCATCTTAGTTTTCTATTGAGGCAACCTTTTAATATTACCATGAACTCTTGCTAGAAGATCATTGTTTATCAGATGATTTTTAATATTTTCAAAATAAGTTCTACCAATTTCTAACATATTGAGATAAGTTTCTTAACAAAGAAGTGTATTATAATCTTAATGATAAAAAGTTCTTTTGTAAGATTTGGTTTTCTTTTTAAGGCATCTACTAGTGCTTATTAATCTACCATCCATTGCCTTAATTAGGCCATTAAAAATATGTCTTGTTCTGATTTAAAAAGAGCTTGAAAATATTCCCTTAGTTCTGCAAATTGTTCCTTGAAAATTCTTGAAGAGCAATCACAATTACAACCTTTTTCTAAAAAATCAATTGCTTTTTGATATTCATTAAAGCCATTATACTTATTATTACTTTTCATATACCCTTATCCCTATATATATATAATTTTATGTTCACCTTGTAGGTTTTTTGAAATCTTGAATTTTTCTATTAACACACTAAAAAAAATTTATGTAATACACAAAAAAGTATCTTTTTATTATATATGGTTCATTCATTATCTACATTTCTATAAAAAATTTAGTGTATAAAATATACTGAAAATGTACATGTGATTTCATTATAATTGTATTTTCAGAAAGCACATGGAATTTTTTTGTAAAAACTCAATATTCTGTGCATAAATGTATAGTAAATATACTGAATAATATAGAATTTATCTGAAATTGTATGATAATTATCCTGAATTCCAGAAAATATACTGAAACTGTCACAGAATTTGTATGTAAATTATACTGAAATTATACTGAAATTTGTACAGAATCATTCAGGAATTTATATAGAAAACATTCGAAATATTAATATGTACAACTAATTATATAGAAATCAATCAGAATATGTACAAAAATTATATAAAAATTTAAATGGATATACAATAACATTTATATATCTCATTGATGATTGCATAACATGTACGTTTTTTCTTTAAAAAAGCAAATAAAAATTAATTAGTATATATATAATAATAATAAATAATAAAATAATAATATTTTTTATTCTCCCCTTGATGATCATATGACAAGATTGTTCACTAGATCTGGATTTTGAAAATAAATAAAATAAAATAAAATCAATTAATAATAATATTCTGATAATATAATAATATTCCTTATTTTTTCCTTGATTGATCGCATAACAAGATATTTATTACAATCACTGGATAGATTATATATTTGTGTGTCAAAAAAATTGAATATGTCTAATTCCTGAAATATGTAATGGAATATCCATTTTTAATCCTAACAACATTGAGGCACAGAGAATAACTACTAATTAATAAGTTAACCAGTATTGAAACTCCACATGCAATTTCCTAAACGTTTTAGATTTTTATATGAATCATTTCTTAACATAAGCTTCATAGGACTTTTGTCTGATTGGCTGATATAAATCAATTATCCAATGTCTGGATAACTTATTTATACTTTTTGAGAACATAACATTTTACTAATAAAATACTGAAATATTGATAAAAGTGTCTTTAGTTATGTCAAAGTTCATTATATATACAAAATAATTTTAGGAACTGATAGATTTTATATACTTAGAAGACAAGTACTCTCTATATGTTATTATTATTGACATAGCTATATTTAAATACTGGATGTAAAAAACAGTAACTAAGTAGTAGATTGATAAATATATACAAGTAGTATTGTTTCTGAAACTGTAGAATAGAATTATTATTTAAAACATGAGTAAAGCTTCGTTATAATGAATAATTTACTCGTATGATTAAATAAATTAGCCAATCATATGAAGAGTTTAATACCATATATTTATATTGGGAAATAAGAGATCTGATTGGCTACATACGTATACATAAAAAAAATAACTTGTATTACAAATGCGTCATGGACTTTTACCAAGCAAACGCAATCGAGAATTAGATGTGCGCGAATTTAATAGAATATTATCGTTCGAAAATGAAATATAAGAATAGGAAGCAATTTTTGGATTGCATTAAAAAAGACCTTCAAGAAGTGGAAGATTCTAATTTATTTGATACAGTAAAAGAAGGAAAAGCTCGAGAAATCCTTGACAAATAGAAGGTATATTTATTTAGCAGGAATAGAATTTGAATGGATTAAGAGATTGATCTGAACAGTTATGAACTGCTTGTTTGACGCTAAGTGCAAACTAGAACTGCTCGTCTCTAGTGATAAACTGCTCGTTCGATGCTTAGTGCAAGCTGGGACTGCTCATCTTACAAGGATGATCTTTTAATCCAACGTTTCTTTGTTTTATATTGTTGATTTTGTCATTGTGTAATGTTTCATTTTTCTAAATTTGTATTTTGTTTCGCCAAGGAATGGACCGCACTGGTAAAAAACTTGAAACAAGATTGTGAACACGCCAAGATTGGGTATCTGCAGGTAAAGCAAATAAATCAACTTGCAACTGGGAGTGGTGCTACATACAATGACAATCACATAACATTAGAAAAACGTTGTCGAGATGTGAATGATAAAGAGGCTAATACAAAAAAGGTGAGTTTATCCAATTCAGCTGTTCAATTAATTGCTATATAAGTATGACTGACATATCATATGTGTTGTGATCTAGCGGAATTTAATAAATGTTGATAGTTCTGATGATAAAACAACACCTCGAAAATGTTCAAATAATGAAGTAGACAAATCAAGTATAAGTATCTTCATTAGGGATATGTATATCAAAATAATCCTAATAAATTGTTTTGCTTCTGTTAATTGATAATGTCATTAGGAAAATAATATTTCCAGTAATGATGATCTCAATGAAACAATAGAATTTGAATATGATGAACTAAGAGAATTAGAACAGCAAATAATATCCAGTTCATTAAGCGAGATATACAACAGTAATTGAACTTTTGATTTCTGTTTATTGTATATAAGTTATGTTTTGAGTGTTATTTTTATATTTTAATGGAATGTAAGCACAGTTAATGTGTCAAAAAAATTTCAAGAATATCAAAGACAATTAATAACAAGTGTTAGGCAAAAAAAAAGAAAATTGACGTGAAACAATATATTTGAACTATTGTAAGTACTTTAAAGATATTTATAGTTGCATTTATGCACTGAATTTATTTATCCTATTACATTTTAGGGCTTTATTATCAATAATTGTAATGTGCTGGCCTTGTCCCTATTCTACATTTACAAGATCTAAATGGCTACAAGTTCTTAATTCAAATCCATATAAAATTATGCAGCCCGTTTTAACAAATTTACTCTTAACTACTTTATATAAAGCAACAAATGACTTTTCACTTAGTCTAAACTATAACTTTATATTAAATAATGACAGTGAATTAGGCAAAAAGGCTAGCTATATATGTAAGCCATTGTATTACAGAAATGATCAAAAATTAAGAAAAGATATATTGGAATAATCTAAATTTTCTTTTCTTTTAGTAAAGATAAGCTTCCATTATCATCAAAATGAAAAGAAACTGAGAATAAGCACTGTATCTATTACTTAGATCCGTTTATTAAAGTTATTTTTGGTGGAGAATACACACCTTACAGCCTAGAAATAAATAAAAACGTAGGTGGAAAACAAAGACCAGATTTTAGCTGTGTAGTTGATAATATTGCGATATTAAATTCTGAGATCAAGCCTTTGGGGTATACTTAGTTGAGAAAAGATCAAGACTTTGTAAAAGTACATCTTAAAGGAAAGAATTCAATTAACAAATTACTAGAAAAGGGAGGATCTAACAAATCAATAGCTTTTTTAAATATAGGTATATATCTGTCGTAATTATATATTTGTTGTTTCTGCAATATTTTATTTACAAAATTCATTTGATATAGGAGATACCATAGAATCATTTAAAATTGATTTAGCATATGACGGTGTATATAGATTATGGCCATGTCTTAAAAACAAAATAGCAATCGATAAAGGTTCTTTTCCTTTAATTATATTGACATTTTTCCTTTTATAATAATGGAGATAAATAAAGTTTTATTTTTTTAATCGATAAAGTTTTATTTATAAATTCTATCACACTTTGTATTTGTAGTAATATGTTAGTGAAATTGTAAATGACTATGAAAATCGATCACCACCTGAACAGATCGAAGAGTTAAAGTTTATTAGGAGATTGCTAACCACAACACAGCTCAAATTATTATTGAAATAATGAGATTTTAGACGATTTTTTTAATACATACAATATGTAGTTGTGTTATAAACTAGTATATACTTTTAAATAAAGAAATTGTTGAAGCGCAAAGGAAATAAACTATTTGTTATGCTTTATATAAAGTTTGTTAAAGTTTCGAATAAAAAGTATGCAAAATTAGATTTATGATTCTTTAATGTGTATGCTTGCATATGGTGTGATATTGTGAAATAGTGATTTAAGAATCACAAGAAATTTCAAAAAATAAATAAATCAGAAATGATTTACGAAGATAGAAAAACCAACACAGGATCAAGAATTCAAACCAGCCTAATTTCATAAAGTGTTACTTAATAAACTAATAAAATAATTAACTCATGGGAATTGTTCACAATGATGCTTTTTTTTTCCAACATTTATTATTTTTCTTTCTTCTTGGTAAATTTTATAAGTAATCCTTTCTTTTCTTAAATAAGTTTCCAATGCCTGAGTATCATTTATTTTAAAAACATATGGAGCAATTTTTTCGCCTTGTCCCTTTTTTAGAATACTTCTAATGGTGTTATAATTCTTGGGTTTCATGGTAGACCTAATGTAAATCAACTTCATATTAATTATTTTTATATAGAGAGATAGTTCTATATATCACTTAACAAATGAGATATTATAAAATTGTTATAATCATGATGATAATGACTGAATTTTGATCCCTGAAATCCTTGGTAATACCAATGTTCACTTTGTCTGGTTTTATTGCAGTATGCCCCATATATAAACTTAAACTATTTTATTAATATTAAAAGTTAATAATAAGCAAATATATTATAATATTATTAATAAATCAAAATATTATAATTAAATTATAATATTATAAGTAAATAATAATAAAATTTAAATAAATAATAATAAATAATAATATCATATTATTAGTATATTAAAATATTATAATATAAATAAAATTTTTTTAAAAAATAGTAATTAAGTAATGTATAATTGTATAAGATATAATTTTTTTAATTATCTTAATTTGGTTGAAATTATAATTTATAATTTATAAATCACAGATTATTATTTTTTTAGTAATAGTTACTTATAAAAAATTGAATTAAATTATATTGAAAAATTATATTATTAATATTATTTCTTAAACTGTAAAACAGATAAATTTGTCTATAATCATAAAAAAAATATTAATTTTTTAATAAAATATAAAATATTATTAAAAATATAATTATTATATAAATATTAAATAATTCAATTTTTAAAATTAAGTTTTAAAAAATTTATTATAATTTTTTAAAAATTTTCTTAAAATTTATATATTTACGAATTAATTAAATTACTTTAAAATCATAAAATTTCTTAATAAATTATAAAAATTATAATAATTAAAATTATTCTTCATGACAAAATTTTATAAAATTCTATTATAATTAATATTATTAAAAGTAAATATTAATAAAATATTAAAGATCAAAAATAAAAATTTTTAAGTTAAAAATTTTTTAAAAATTACAAATATTTAGCTTATAAATAATCTTGAATTATTTATTATATAATTAAAAAATAAAAGTTATAGTAATATTATATATATTTATAAAATTAATTTAAAAAAAAAAATTTTTAAATTTTACTTTTTTATAAAAATAAATCAAAAGAGAATTTATAATAAATAAATAGGTAAATTTACTTATGAAATTCTACAGTTTAAGGGATAATTATAATATTTAAGTATTTGTAATAAATCATCTTTTAATATTTGACAATAAGAGTGACATCTATTCTACCATAAATTTATATAAATAACTAATTCTATAAACTATAAATATTCTAATACAAAAATTCCTTTACCTCTAAATTTTATTATTCTTTTAATATATTAATCTTTTAATAATTTTACAACAATATTCTCTTCTATCTGAACTAAATAAATTAAACTTACTTTTATCTGATATTACTAGAATCCTAAAAAATCTCTTATATTTCTAAACATACTTTTTTATATTAAGATACTAATAATAGTTTTTTGCTTTAATTACTGATTTTAAAATATTATTATTAAATACTTATTATATATTGTTGTTAAAAAAACCTTAAGTTTATAATTAGTTTCAATTTTTTTGAAATTAAATTGCAGCTAAATATTTTTCACTAATAATATAATAAATAGCTCAATATTCTTCTCAATTTATTAGAAATAAGAGATAACTGAACTTTAGTAAGTCTTTTATATTATTTATTTCTTTATATTAATTATAAAAATATAATATTATATTTTTATTAACTTTATATTATAATGCAAGTTTAGTTTCAGTTGATCTCCTATATAATTATCTTCTATATAATCACTTCTCCTTTATAAGCATATTTTATTAAACTAAAATTAATAATAAATTTATTAAAATCCTTTCTATAATTATATCATATAACTTTTTATAATTATATCAAATTTTTTAGTTTTGAGAAATATAACTATAAGAGGTTAACTATATACATTTTATTTTAGTCTAACATATTTTGAAATTATAAATTTAAGTAAAGAAAATATTAAATTCAAAAAAATGTTTACTGAAATTGAATGATCTAAAATAATATAAGATTTTAAAAACAATGTGTCACTTATCGATTTACAAAAGAAAAAAGACAAAACTCTTTTAATTTAATAGATTTGATAATAAAAGTTTGATTTGAATAAATTATTATTATTTTATTTAATTGTCTTAAATTACATATTAATAAAAGTTATTTTTTTAAATAAATAATTGCATAATTTCCAAAAGATCTCATCACGAAATTGAAAAAAATTGTATTATTGAAGTATATGATAGTTAATTAATTATTGAATTTTTTCAAAAGTTGATTATTTTTAGAATCTTATTTTTGTATTTTTCTATTAAGAATAATTTCAAAACTAATACAATAAGACAATTGATTCAAAATTAGTAGATCATTTATCTTTTTTTTTAAATAGTATATTTTCTTTTTTTTGCTAAAAGTATATATTAATGTTTTGAACGGTTCAGTTCAGTCTGGATTATAGACCAATCTGAAACTGAATCAAAAATTTCAGTTCAGTTCAGTTCAGATTATAAATCTTAAAAATGCCAATCTGAAACTGAACTGAACCGTAAACTGATAAAAATTTGAACTGAACTGAAAATTTCAGATTAATCTGAAATTTCAGATCATTTGGAATGATCTTTTGATTGTTCTTTTAGAATGATAATTTAATCATTTCAATTGAATGATTTTCTTATCGTTCGTTTGAAATGATAACTTCAATCATTCTAAATAAACAATTCTTTTATCATTCTTTTGGAACGATAATTTAATCATTCTAATTAAACGATTTTCTTATCATTCATTTAGAATGATAACTTCAATTGTTTTAAATGAACGATTTTTTATTATTCGATTGGAATGATAATTTAATCGTTTCAATTAAATGATTTTTTATCATTCGTTTGGAATGATAACTTCAATCGTTCCAAATGAACAATTCTTTTATCGTTCATTTAAAACAATAATTTAATTGTTCCAATCGAATGATTCTTTTATCATTCGTTTGAAATGATAATTTAATCGTTCCAAACAAATGATTCTTTTATCGTTCTTTTGGAATGATAATTTGATCGTTCCAATTGAATGATTTTATCGTTCATTTGGAATGATAACTTCAATTGTTCCAAATACAGTAGTGGTCATAAGTATCTGACCGCCTCTAACTCTGGCTACAAGTAAGTAAATTCAAAATTTTTTTTTTTATTTAAAAAATACATAACCAACTAAC